ATATAAAAACAGATTCTACTTACGCACTTCACCGTCTAGATCACAATCATTCTTTTAATGAAGAATTTAAAATTCTTCACATTCAAAATAAAGGCCTTAAGCTTGTTAGAATCTATGGAAATCAACAAATTAAAACGCACAGATATAATTCTGAATGACCAACTTGAGACAAACAGTTCTCCCCTCCTCAACCTATTTCATTAGACTATAACATGTAAACGCATGCCAAAAATAGATCACTTGAGAAAGACAATCAACCGAAACAGCTGTAGTGATAAGAGATTAAAATAAATTTTGTGGAAGTTTGAAAACAAGTTTTCAGTGTTTTATTGTTACATAAAATGAATTTCCATCAAGTTACGTTCGAATCCATCAACAATAATAATATATGAATAATAAATAAATAAGAATAAAATAGGCAAAATTACTAAAAAAGAAGTTACATTTGTGTGACCCTAAGCCCCCAGTGTATAATAAAGAAACATTCTTACAAAAATAATTATACTAAAATGGGAAACAGACCCAAAACGTGATTCAATATTACATAATTTAAAACAGCAGCTGATTTAAGTAATTGAAAAAAAAAAAAACGTAGTTAAAGCAGGACACGAGACAGCAGGTAAACCTAGAATCCGCACAGCGGATATAGACCAATAAAACAACTGTAAGTCCTGAGCTACAATGAACAGCCATTCAGGAAATGAAATGGGCGGAATAATTAGCATTAGAAGTCATTAGTATTACGGAAAATAGAAAGAAAACGGAATTCAGGCCACTAATGAACTCTAGGTCAGCTGTAAACAAGATCAGGATAGCCCTGATGATTCCCAATCTCCGATAGGAGTGGCACAAGAAGAAGAAGAAGAGTATTATAGTCTGGATATGAAACTAGCCCTAAAAAAGGAAATGGATTTGTAATAAATTAAAAACTACAATCAGAAGGATGACACTTTAAACCAGTCAATGAAAGAATCTGAATCTAAGATATAAGAAAAAAAGGGTCCAATTTAACTATATTATCAGTGTATGCACCAACCGAAGGAGCATCAGAGGATGATAAAAATGAATCTGACCATGATGTCGCACCAAGTTTGATAGAAAAAATATTATCAACAATGCAACATGGAAATTAAATAATCATGTTATATATTTTTGATTATTTGTTTACTTTTCAGAGGCAGCAAAGCTACCCTATTAAAACATTCATCGTGACGGGAGAGAGATACACAGGAAATGTGACGAAGAACAGACAGATGAAGATGCACAAACGTCGTCAACATGAAGATAGAAGACTAGTAGACTAGAATAAACACAGCGAAATCAGCTCACAAAAGCGAAACTACTTGAACTAAGACTAGCTACTCTGCCAAGATTGATGCAGCTAACATATTGAGTAACTTCTGTAAGTTGTCATGAAGATAGAGGCCTATTAGTCGATAATGAAGATAGCCAAATCGTCTCACAAAGAGAGCTTAGTAAACTAGGACTGCTGTGACTTACCATAATTCCGATGATAGTGCTAATACGGCAGCGAGCGCTACTACTAAGACGACTTGTAGGGTCCCCATTAACAAGCCGTGAAGAACGCGCCTTTGACAAGAGTTCTGAGACCCAACTAACAAGCCGTGTAGAGGCATTTGTAAAGCCACTACTAACAAGCCGATTAGGACCGAATGCAAAACCGCAACTCACACAGCTGGAAAGGTTATTAGTCATACTGCTGCTACTGATATGACTGCTGTGGCTAATAATGACACCGACGTCAATGCAAATATGACTACTGTTCAAACGGTCGAAATAACTGATGATAACACTCCCGCTAGTAACACGATTGGTATTTCCGATTTTATTACAACTTCTCAGGTGATATTATCTTTATGACTGATGATATCACCACTACATCTGCTATTATTACGACTTGTTCAACTCATTCTACAGCTAGAGCTAATGATATTAACATCACCATGGCTGCTATTAAAACTAATGATACCGCTGATATTACTATAAGTGTTAGCGTTAGCGATACGAGTTCGACTAAAACTATCAGTAGGACTGATGGTATGACTGCTACACCACATAACAGGTCTGCTATGACGTATATAACTATTTCGTTTGATACTCAAAACAACTTCTGTAGCAGACACCCAATCAGCCCACTCCTTTTTATAGATCCAAAAGATATGTTATCTAGCGATGTAACGACTGCAATGCATGGTAGTATTGTAACAACTTTCACCGCTGAAACAACTGGTAACGTTGATAGGAATACAATAGAATTAGACTCTATCAACTCAAATGAAACATTAGCTAGCTAGCAGGCACTAACAAAAGAGAAGGTCGATAGCACTAATGAGTCCGATACGACCAAGAACACCCATAACTAAACGACTGATATTCCAAAGAAATAAAAAAGTCAAGGAGGTTAAGGGCATCTCAATAGATAGGTATTCGTTGACTTTTTACTTTAATATGTATTCACAGTAAGCAAGATTATACATTTTCTTCAGAAATTCCTACGTGGTTTTTTAAGTATTAACAATTTACTGCGAAAATTGCGTAAATAATTTGAAGGCCATTGAAATGTGGATTTACCGGAGAATCCCCAAGATTCCATGGACATCGGATACCTTAAAGGAAGAATACTGCATAGAATAGGCAAAAGACGAAAACTTGTCAACACAGTGGAAGTTGGAAAAGCATCATATCTATGAAACATACTGAGAAATACTAAGTACCAATAAGCTCACCTAATAGTGAAATGAAATATCGAGAGAAAGGGTTTGCAATTGTAGTAGCCAACCTCAATCGAGGAGAGGGCACTTAAAAACCTAAAACCAAGAATATTACAAAAATTAAGGCTTTATTACTCACCTGACTTCCTGCACCAAGTCTATTGTCACTATACTGTTGGCACAAATACTATACGGCACATATGTCAACAAGCTACTCTAGCCTATTGAGTCAGTAAAATCCTGGTTAAATAAATGGTACTTCAAGGTTAATGCGTCTATGACATTATCAAAGGCAATGCGGTAAGGATTACAGTTTAATTCACGATTGATTGCTAACTGAATAAGCACAAATTACAAAGATTAATGAAAAAACTTATAATTAAGTAAAAACTTTGACGTAAAATGGCATATTTATTTATTTATAATGGTATATGGACGTTTTTCACATTTGGTCCCAGTGAAGATAGCCTCAAATGAGCTTTCACAGCTCAAAGTTTCACAGAACTAAGTATTGCCCTGGCAGTATTGCCTTCTTCTTCTTCATGTACCATGTCCTTTCAGAACGTTGGTTACCATCATAGCTATCTTAATTTTATTCACTGCCACCCTAAATAGCATGCTTGTATCAATACCATACCAATCTCGCAAGTTCTTCAACCATGAGGTTCTTCTTCGTCCTGGACTGAGTTTGCCTGCTATTTTTCCTTGCATGATATTTTGTAGCAACCTATATTTGGGACCTCTCATTACATGTCCGAAATACTCCAGCTTTCTCTGCTTGATGCTTTTTTATGATCTCAGTAGTCTTGCTGAGACGTTCTAGTATTGTGGAGTTTCGAATCTTCTCCACCCAAGAAACTTTTAAAATTCTTATATAGCACCACATTTCGAAAGCCTCAAGGCGATTTAGATCGATTTTATTTACAGTCCAGGACTCGACAGCATAAAGTAAGACCGAGAACACGTAGCAGCGAAGTAGGCGGATCCTTAATGCCAGTTTTAGGTCTCTGTTACATAACACCTTAGACATCCTTCTAAAAGCAGCTCTAGCCTGCTCTATCCTGGATCTAATTTCGCCGTGACTTTCTGCGTTATAATTTAATTGCTGTCCACGGTAAACGATTTTATCAACTTGCTCAAGTTTGGTATTATTTACATAAAATATATAGACGGTTTTATATGCTGTTGTTTACTTTTATGAGTATTTTGGTTTTCCATATAAACGTTAAAAAGCAGGGGTGACAAGAGGCATCCCTGCCGAACTCCAGAGTTGCCACGTCGATAAAAATGTATAATATGTTATATGCTTCAAATACCAAGAGAGAAAGCTTTTAAAACGTACATTTTTATTATATTTTTTTATGGATTCTGTCAAACTCATTTGAGGCTATCTTCACTGGGACCAAATGTGAAAAACGTCCAATAATACTAATGGTATACTATTTAAATGATGAAAAGGTTTAATAAATATTGTAAAGTACCACAATTTTAACAAAGAATATGTACTTGAGGAACAACGTAACATACAAGGACATACTTACGCTTGCCACCTTATTACAGCGTTTTTAATCCCATAAAAATGAATTGGGTAATAACAAAGACGTACTTAAGGAAATTCAATCAATCATTGAGCGAAGTGTTGCTAGACAAGCAGTCAACGAGTTGAATAGTGAGATTTGGAATAATCGCATTTCCCCTGTTATCGACTAAGAAAATGAATACCCCATAATGGATCCTACAGCCAGTTATTCAGCTAATTTTGGTCATGACTCTAGTTCTGATAATTAATTCTAATTAAAGGTATATGTGTAAAACTTATTACTCATAGTCTGGCTATGTGCTCAGTTCATTAAATGATTCGGAACATAACTTTGTCAACTATACAAAAATGTGTTTTAGTTACGTGATATTCTTAAGACTTTTTTTAAATTGCTCTACATTAAAATTGTTTTTATTCTGGGCCTTATTAATTTATACTTAAATATAAAAATAAATGATGCCTCGTCGACATATTCTTTTAATGTTTGCCGGCAACCAGTGTTTCAACTGAAATATACCATTTTACATCAAAAATGTTTACTTTATTGTAAGCTTTTTTAAACTGTGTTTTACAACCAACCATTAGGATTTTCCCTTGTAATTTTTAAAGATTAATGACTTTAAATTATGTAACAATTATATTTTAGAAAAGTTTTAAGAGAAAAAATTTTACACACAGAATTGCCATTATAAATTGGCTTTAGTACAACTTAGTAGTTGAGTTTTTCCCAAAAACCAAAGTGCAGATCTTCCACACGAGTATTAAATTGACCTAAGAATAGTACTGGCGAAAAAATTATTAGGCTTTCTTAAAAAACGAGCTTATAGTTTTACTACCGCTAGCGGCTTTGGCCCTAGCTTTCTCTTTCGAAGACACCTTATTATCGGGTTTACTTAAATCTAAAATATTCGAAGTGCTAGACTTGATCTCCTCCTCGACTTTGACCTTCTTGGGCTCGTTGGTGCCTACCAAAGGAAGGCTTTTCCTCTTGAGACTCTGGCTCTGCTGACTTTCTTCCGGTAAATTCAGATATCTTAGGAGCTTCTGGCTAAGGTCGTCCATTAGGTATTCGGAGACGATTCCGTGGGCGTATCGCAAGTAGGCTTCGTTGTCTGTTGGCTCGCCTCTGGTAACTTTGACGTAAGTGGCTGAAATCGCACCACCTGATACGTTTATATTTTTCTGTTTCAGTATCTCTGCTACTCGTTCGGTTTTCTTTTTGAGCCAGATTAATGTTTTTTCTTCATTATATTTGAAAGCATTGAGTTCTTCATCACCCTAAAACAAAATAATTAATAGAATTAACTAAAAATGGGAAACTAGATTTCACTATAAAATATATACAAGATGTCTCAAAAATTGTTAACTTTTGTCACATATTTTGAAATTCCCCCGGTGTGGAGTTGTCTGTTTCCCATCGGACGCGTCCCAGGTGGCAGATAGGTGAACGCCCTAACATGTCCTAGGACCGGTGGGTAAGTGCAAAATAAAATAACCCCAGCGAACCAAAACAGACTAAAGCCTAGTTGACATTGGTAGTGAATCTCGAGCCACATTCGTAGTACACGAATCTTAATAACTTCACGACCGAGACCGTGGTTATGCCTCGTTCGTGAAGAAAGTTCACATGGCAAATATGCAGTGCTCCAATACTCGCTTTTTCTTTTTAATTTTATTAACTACAAAACTATATTTAGACTGTGACTAATACCTAATAATAAATAGGGGAAACTCAATACTTATATCGTACAAGAATAATTTGAAGTGGATATTGACCTCGACCTTAGACTGCTTAAGTTCTTCTTCTCACGATTGTTATTATTTTAAGTCGTGAAGAGAATTAAATCTTCGTATTTTACCGATGTAAATGTTTACACAAAGCCTGGCTCACGTTATGATTCACTACCCATGTCAATGCGGCTTAAAGTATGACAAACCTAACAGAAGAGTCACTGGCCCTCCAGGTTAAAAGTTAAGCTAGAGCCAAAGAACCTCTTACTGTAAAAAGTCATATAACGTTATAGAACCCCAGGAACCATTGGCTGGACGGACTTTACGACGACGACTCTGCAAACGAAAAATGAAATTGATATTAGGAATATGGAATAAAGGAGCTTAGAGCACTCACACCATTGCAGTAAATGCGATGGACGGGAACCGGCACTCTTGAAGAGAGAACCCATTCCATATATAGCTGCAATGAAAGTCAACACATAGATGGAGTAGGATTTATTGTAAATTAAAGACTTTAAAGCTTACTGTCAAAAACTGTGCTATTTACCCTTAAAAGGGAAATTCTTCAATTACAGTTTGATCAATGCACATGACCCGACTGATAATAAACTAGGATAAATAAAAGAACAGTTCTTCGAAGATCTACAGCAGGCCTATGGAAGACGTCCCAGAAATGACACTAAGATTGTGTTATAGTCCGTCCCAAACCCTTCTTTCAGTACGTCATAGTTGTTCGAATTCTCTCTAACGCATTAAGCTAGAAGTGACAGAAAAAAAACGTGAGTCGCTGATTATTATACATAGAACTTAGAAAATTAGGTATCGTTCACGGGTATTCGCATATTAAAGCGAATTCTACTTACGAACATATAATTGGTTGGAGTTTAGAATACGCTAAATAGATATCCAATCAATTATGCATATAAATATAATTTGACACAGATGATCTTGATAATGACAGTGACAGTACTTTCACAATGTCAACTGATAAAATGATAATTGCCATTCCAGGTTAGTATTTTCAGACATTTTACCTACAGTGAAAATTAAATTTTATATTTATTGTCATAAAAATATTTTAAATATTCCGAGATATACCGAGAATGAACAAAGACTAATATTAAAATTATTAAATTAGTTTCAATTAGAAAAAGATGCTGAGACATCTTTATTATCAGTTTCTGTCGTTCGCGAATCAGATTGTGAATTCCGGAATGATATTGAGGAAATATCTTAAACTAATACCGTTATGGATATTTATATGTATATAAATTATATATATTTTAAAATAATACCGTTATGGATATGTATATGTATTAAAACGGTTCTTTTTAGAACCACGACATTTTCTTGAAATGTAAGATATAATTGATACCAGCCACATATCTAGTGTAATCATTGATTTTAAAGAATCAGATTCTGAATGGGATTATAGATTGTTTGAAATATAATATTCATTTTTGTTATTCATAAAAAAGAAGGTAAACTTACATTCGGTATCTTGTTTTTTAACTAAACTCCATTAACACGATTTCATCTGGATACCGGAACTGGTAGATTAACTCAAAAATCAACTGCTTCACTATTTAAACTATTTATATTGTTTTTTTTTAACTAAACTTTATAACCTTCTTTCATTTGCACACCAAATCTGGTAGAATAACTCAAAAATCAACTGCTTCACTATTTAAACTATTTCCACTATTTAATGACAACTCTTCACAAAATTAAACTATTGGCTGCCACACAAACTTATCAGAAAATTACTTATCCAAATATGACTGATTTAAATCGATGTTATTTTATCACAGGAATGTTTACTTTGATGCCTTGCAATTGCAATTGTCAGTAAATTTTTTTACCTTGCAGTCAACTCTTAAAAGATTCTAGGAGGAAGCGTTATTTTAAATAAACAAACCTTCCAATTCCCTAGTGTTTGTAATAAATAATAATAAATCCATAAACAAATCTTAGCTAATTAAGCACTTTTCATGGAATGTATAAAATAGAACAGAATAGAATAGAATTATGACAAACTGCTATGCATTTAAAAAAAAAATAACCTTTTCACGTTTAGCCGATTACGATCCTGCAACTGTCAGATTTAACTAAAATGTCATGCAATAATTCTCGACATTCTTAAAATCCTATATGACGTCAAAATTAGTGACGCACTGAAAAAAGGGTTTGGGACAGACTGTAGGTGACATAAATGCAAGAATAGGACGAGAGCGAGTGTTCATTTCTGTTATAGAAAGGCATAGGAGTACCGGTAACGGATTACGGCCAATAAACTTATCAGACTTAAAGCAAAATTATCAGACTTAAAAACAAACTGAGTTCTCCGTATTTCATAAACCCACCCTTACTGACACAATTCATCATCCCAATCTATGTAACATACCAAAGCATACATTACATAGATTTAGTGTTGCCCAAAATTGGTCTTGGTCTTGTTCTTGCGTTTTCGCAAAACCAAGACGAAGACCGCCCAATTTTAGCAAGACCAAGACTGGCCGTGTAAGATTTGAACAAGAACAAGACTAATCCTGTGAGACCTTTGCGTCTTGAAGTTAATGAGTGTCAACTATACCGGAATAGTATACGGTATATGCTATAGAAATATATATAAATATATATATGTATACATATAATATATATAAATTGATTATATGCGCATTCGCTATACAAACATATACAGCGAATCAAAATATTCAGTGAAAGAACACAGTGAAAGAGGTCAGAATTACAATGTAAAAATAAAATATTTTGTACATTCTTTCCCAGCAGACGAGTTCTTCGTTCTGAAATTAATTGTCCAGATTTGTCCAGAATAGCCCCCTCTAATCATAAAATAATCTTGCAAATAGGTAAAAAAGAAATAAAATAAGACTTACTCACAATCTATTTAATTATACCACCAATGACCGGTTTCGCATGCTACAATTTGCTATTCATCTTCAGGTCTAACGGTACCTGGCATATTAAATGATGCCGGTACAAGATTTTAATATACCAGGTACCGTTAGACCTGAAGATGCTTAGCAAAGTGTAGTATGCGAAATCGGTCGTTGGTTGTATAATTAAATAGATTGTGAGTAAGTCTTATTTTATTCTTTTTTATATATATACATATATTATATATATATATATATATATATATATATATATATATATATATATATACATATATATACATATATATATATATATATATATATATATATATATTATATATATATATATATATATATATATATATCCGGTTTTTTAGGCGTTACGCCCGTCCGGTAGGGATCTATGGAGGAGTATCACCAAGCCGCAAGCCCCTATCTCTTGCCGTACTGCTCCACCATAGGCCGATCAGAACCCAGCATATCCTAGTCTAAGCCGCAGATTCATCTAGAATTTTAAACTGCTGCGTTAGACTTTTTGTTTTTAGTACACCGAGCTGGGGCTCGAACCCACATCCACTGAACCATTCGACAGTGAAGCGAATGAGAGGCAGCCGCACAGCCCGCTGAGCTATCTGACCGACTATTTCTTTTTTACCTATTTGAAATGGGCTCACACAGGCAACACATTCAAGATTTAATCTTCTTGCGTTGTGACGCCGACAGTAATAGTATCAAAACTTTTTAAAAATATGTCATCATAGCTGATAAAAAATGTATATGTAAGGTTAATATACCTACGGTTAGGGACACCCACTTAATAATTTATTTTTTTCCTTATTATAATTATTTAGTTATGAGGAATCTAAATATCACAAATCTTATCGGTCTAAGCCTAAACATGGTTTCTGCTGAGTGTGCGATGAGATCATTCAGTTAAACAAAATTTGCTGAAAGAGCCGGCTAATAATCAAAAGTAACGAGACAAACTAATAACAGATAATGCCGGTTACCGTGTAAACAAAATACAGATATATTTAAAGTAAGGAAGTAACGATATATAATTCTCGGTTTGGTATTCGGTACTTAGAGTATAGTAACGAATATAAAGTAACGAGTAGTTACTTTTTCGGTATCACTAAATTTCATTCCCAATTGAGCTTTCCTTCGAGTGTAATCTAATAATTGTATTTTATCTAATCCTTGTTGTTCTCGGAGTGACAAGTTTAGAATTTGACATGAGTGACGAAGATTTAAACAGATCTAGTCGAAGTAATGAGAGTTGGAGTCAGATCTAAAAGCAAATTTGATGAGTTTTTCGAAATAATTCATGCATCCCAAATTGCTTTGTGTAAATTGTGCCAACATAGAAAGATTGAAATAAAAAACGAAAAAAAATTTTCAATTGTTTAGATCTTTATTAATTTGATTGGTCTTTTATATGGCTGTGTAATTTCAAGCTCTTTCTGCAAGACAAAGACTGTCTAAGGGTGCGATCATTAACGGTGACCATCCCACCGTGCCCTCGCCTAGAGCGTAGCAATGACGTTGAATGCTCGTATTTAAAGTAATGCATTTATTTTACCTAAAATCGATAAGTGATACCATCCCATGGTCCGAGCGAGGGTCGGCGCCTCGTTATGAACGCAC